GCTTCCTCTGCTCGGGCGCTCCTCCAACCTGACTTCCCCTTTCTCCCACCTTTCCCGGCACCGCGGGAAAAACAGCGCAGGGCAGAGCAGGCAGGGAGGGCGGCTGGTGCCCGGACACGGGAGCCTCCCAGTCAGTTCAAGACCCGACATGAGGGAAAAAGGCCGTAGGAAGAAGGGCAGGACCTGGGCGGAGGCCGCCAAGACGGTAAGGGGGAAACGCGAGGGGGAAGGCCCGGAGGATCTGGTTCCCGTGCCGTCCGCCAAGTCGCAAGGGAACGGAGGTCACTGGCCCAGCGACCTGGCGGAGCGGGGCACAAAACCGCGCGGTGAGGACGGCGGTTAGTGTCGGGGTTACGATCCCTGTGGGAATGGAGGCGCCCGGCGGGAGGGGGGTCTCTGCCGGGCTGTGGCTTCTCCCAGCGTCTGCGGAGAGTCCTCTTCAGTGTTTTGAGGCTGTCTCGGGGTCACGTCGCTGTCTCCCCGGGTCTGTGGTAGCCCCCGCCCGGGCATGGGGAAGTCTGTTGTGCTTGCACAGTAACCGGTTCTTCTCCCTGTGCGGCTGGAGAGCCCCCATTGGATGCACAGAGAAGGCTTGTGCGTGCATCCAGCCCGGAAAGGAGAGGGGAGCGCTGGCGCTCGGTAGAATTTACCGCTAGAGCAGACGTGCCGCCTGACCCCGCGCCCCCTGCGTATCAGGCTCTTGAAACCGACGTGAGATCACGAGGCTTTTGTTTTTGTTTGCTGTTGGAGCTGAAAGTGCAAGAGGTGTTTAGAAACGAAGTAACAGGTGGGACTTGTAGATTTTTTTTTTTTTTCTGTTTCCGTAGAGACCTACACTGAACAAGGCAGCAATGCATGGTGGGACGTGTAGTTTACCCGGTCTTCACTTGTCCATAGCCCAGTGTTGGCCTAACGAGGTTATAAACTGTGGGTAGAACAAATTTCCCCCTTAGTTTTCTTACAGTCGTTTTTAGAAGTAGGTTTAAAAAAATGGACCCTTGAGGGCGAATGAGAACTTTTACTGTATTTTAAGGGAAAAAACTGAAAGTGTGTATGAAACACTAGGAGAAAGTGAAGTTTAGTCCTTCACGGAGGGTGCGGTAGACTAGTAATAGGGCATTATATAGCAGCTCTTCAGTGCTGGAAAGGGAGAGGTGTTTACTTTAGTGGTGAATCATAGCAGTAATATTTCGACGACATGGAGAGCCCTCCTTATTGGGCTCTTATTCTATGTAACATGATTTTAAAAAATATAGAGAATAAATAAAAGACGTGCTTCAAGCCTCAGCTATACCTGTTAACATTTTAGTATATTGCTGTCCAGTCTTTTTATTTATTTCCCCAAATCAGGATCGTATTGTTGATTCAGTCTTATACATTTGTTTTGTAAACCTTGTGCATTTGTTTCATAAACTTTATGGGTTAGAGGGGCTGATGAGTCTTCAACTTGTATTTCTGTTTTAGCTGGAAATGGGAAAAAGTCAGTGAAGAAACAGTAGTGCTTATTTGTTTTTATTTATAATGTATCTTCATAATTGTAACTGTGCCAGTAGGTTCCCTCTAAAAGGCAAAATTTTAGAAATAGGCTGCTGCTGCTGCTGCTGCTTCTTCATTTTTGGCTCCCTTGATGATGGGGATGTTGCTTCTCCACTTAAGGCTATTTTACTTTCTACTTGAGTGATATTTAAGATCTCTTCCTGTTAATAAAAGAAGCATGGTCAGTTTTAACTAAGTAAGCAGACACTAACCCTACTTATTTTAAGTTTCTAGAATCTAATTATGACCTCTTTAGATAAAGTAGTGTAATCATTGGGAGACTGTGACAAATAGGAAGAATTTAGTCTTTTTGCTGTTTAGATTTTTTTTTTTTTAATTAAACTGGACTTTTTTTTTTTTTTTGGAGAGGATTTTGCTCTAGGGCTTATGCCCTAGCCAGACAGAAAGCGAGAAATAACCCCCCTGGGGGATGGCCACATCGCAACCCCTTCTCCATTCTCCTCTTGGGATCTTGGGCACACGCACGCGCACACATGCCAGGCGTGAGATTAAGGCACCAGGTCCTCACACCACTGGGACTGGGACTCGAACTATTGGCAGCTACATGGGAGTCCAGTGTCATAGCCATTATGACAACTGCTGGTCTCCAAATGGGACTTTTTATTAGATTAAATGGGACTTTTAATTTTCTTTAGGGCATGGGTGCTTTATTGAGACAAAAGAAAGCAAGTGAGAAATTGGCCTCCAGAAGGGGATGGCCACGCCACAATCCCTTCATTTTCCTCAGGATTTTGGCCTTGCATGTACATGGGCAGAGTGATTTTTTTTTTTTCTTTTTTTTGAGAGATTTTCACTGTAGGGCGCGTGCACTCGCCAGACAGACAGAGAGAGACATAGAGACAGAAAGTGAGAAATCACCCCCCAGGGGGGATGGTCACGCCGCAATCCCTTCTCCTCCATTCTCCTCTCGGGATCTTGGGCACGCACGCACACGCGCCCAGCGTGAGTTTTAAGCCACCGGGTCCGGGACACGAACAGCGGTCGACTACGTGGGAGTCCAGCGACATAGCCATTACGCTAACTGCTGGTTCCCAGGCAGAGTGATTTTTCATGCCTCTGGTTTGGGGCCTCAAACTGTGCTCGGCCATGTGGCAGTCTAGCACCTTAACCATGCCATCTGCTGGTTCCTTTCTTTTTAGTTTCTTTTTTTAATTAAAACAATTTTTTTGGAGAGATTTTTGCTCCTTGGCACGTGCACTCGCCAGAAAGACAGAGACAGAAAGGGAGAAATCACTCCCTGGCGGGGGAAGGCCAGGCCGCAATCCCTTCTCCATTGTTCTCTCGGGATCTTGGACATGCACACACATGCGCCTAGGGTGAGTTTAAGCAGCTGGGTCCAGGACTCAAACCCTGGTTTAATACATGGGAGTCCAGCGGCATAGCCATTACGCCAACTGCTGGCCTTGGTTCTTTTCAGTTTAATGTCAGAAATCAGCATATTTTAAAAATGTCAAACTGCCGTTTCCAGTATTTGGCTCTGCTTTCGCCTGTCAGCAGGGTACTAACTAGTATCTGCTCCTGGTTTGGGATACTACACAGATTTCGAAATTACTAGGGCAAACTTCAGATTGCTAAACCACACGTCCACATGAACAATCACAGGTTTGCTTTAGCCTTCAACCTTTTAAAGGTATTAACCAGTTGAGGGTGGTAGGATGCTTTCTAACTTTTCATGTAAACTCAAAGTTTAGGTTTCTTTTTTTTAAAATTATTTTTATTTAATTTTATGTATTCATTCATTTATTTTAATTTGACCAGAGAAAGACACACACAGAGAGAGAGAGAGAGAGAGAGAGAGAGAGAGAGAGAGAGAGAGAGAGAGAGAGAGAGAGAGAGAGAGAGAGAGAGAGAGAGAGAGAGAGAGAGAAAGGGAGAAAGGAAGCTGCCAGGTTTGGGACTCGAACCGTGGTCAGCCATGTGGGAGTGTCCAGCACCTTAACCACAACGCCACCTGCTGGTCCCCAGTTTTAGGTTTCTTTATGGAGCAAAGTCTACGCTATTCCAGTTGCAGAAATTCTCTCCATGTTTTCCCTATATTCCTTTATTCAGTCTTGGCTGCCACAATCAGAAAGTGCAAAGACATTATTTTCTTGCATCTATAGTATAAATTTTTCTTAATACATTAGTGTAATTGCTCATTTCATGTGGTAGCTAGCTATTTGAAAAACAGTATTTGAAAGATGAAAAGATGGTGCCCGCAGGGATCATGGTGGTTGAGGTCCTGGACCCTCAGGAAGATAGAAAGGCTGATGTGAGCAGTAGAGTTTTCAGTGTGTTCCTCAGGGGACCAGTACATTAGAAGGTTTGTATTTTTATTAAATGTATAAAGATGTATAAAGCCCCAGTTTAAGTAAAAACTAATTTTAGTAAGAGAATGATCATATAAAAACTCTCTTTTCTCTAGTAGCCAAAATTTAGAAAACACCCTACTCTTTTGGGTCATTTTATCATTATAAAGTGAAGACATTAAACTAAATTTCAGTGTTTCAGGCCCAGCAGATGGCATAATGGTTATGTCGCTTGATTCCCATGTAGTCAGTTGTAGTTTGAGTCCCAGACCCAGTGACTTAAAACTCACGCTGGACGTGTGTCCATGGACACGTGTGCGTGCGTGGACAGAGGAGAAGGAATTGTGGCATGGCCATCCCCCTGGGAGGTGATTTCTCACTTTCTGTTTCTCTCTTTCTGTCTCTCTGGTGAATGCACTTATCCTATAGCAAAAATCTCTCTCTTAACAACAAAAATATGTGTTTCTGTTTATAGGATAAATAAAGTAGGAAGACCAGACGAAAGTCAATCTTTAATATTTCAGATGCAGAATAATGAGATCAGGAAAGTCATGACTTGACAAATGAAAGGAACTTTGACCTGAATTATGACATTCTTGGATATTTAGGATCAGGAGGAACAGGAGAAGGGGTTAAACTAATTTCTTAGACTTTAGGGTATCATATGTTCGAAGAATAGAGTTTCAGCATAGAAGTAATAAAATTATTTATGAATATAGGCAGTATTTGCTTAATTCATTTATGTTCTTAGTAGCTATATTGTTAAATTATCCTGTCTTAGGGAATATCATTGAAACAGTTTGTTTGGTCCAGCCTTGATGGTGCAGGTGGCACTGTACTGAACTGCAGGGCTAGGAGCCACATGATTGACCAGGTATTCGGATCTCCAATTTGCCTGAAACATCAGGTGTGTGCATGCAAGATCCTAACAAGCTGGAGGGCGGAGCGAAGGGGAGCGTGGCATGGTGAGACCCTGTCAAGGGTGTACTTCTCTCTCTCTTTTCCCCCTGTGCATGTGTGGAATCCATTGGGAATAAAATAAACTTAAAACACGCACACACACACACACACACACACACACAAATAAAATGGGATTGTATTCCTGACCAGTAATGTAGCAGGAAATAAATTTTTTCAGAAAATCATGTGTGCACACACACGTGAAACTGGGTACATGTGGTTATATGAGAGAGCTATGTAGATTAATATAAAATTTCTGTAGACAAGAATAACAAAGTAAGATTCATAATTATTATGTAATAATAACATTATGCCAAAAGGCTGATAAAATGGATTTAAATGTGCAGCCTGATTCCAGTAATTAAGGATTCCAGAGAGACGTAATGGACCTGGGATTCAG